GTTGAGAATTTGAGAAAATGACGTCATTTTCTCAAAAATACCATACGGGTTGAAATTATAATAACAATTAGCACAGCAATTCGCATAAAGAATAACAAAAACTTTGGCTCATATATTCCTGCAATTTTTTACATTAATTGTTATCATAATTTCAACCCGTGCGGTATTTTTGAGAAAATGACGTCATTTTCAACCAAGACTTGGAACAAGGAAAATTAATGGCGGCCGTAAATTCTCGGAAATTAAGGTCCAAAAACCACGAGTTTTAATTTTCGTAGAAAATTGAAATTTGGCAAGATATCTAGGAAAGACCTAATGAGTACGAAAATGTAAAGAAATGGATATCGAGAATTTCATCAAAGTGGCACTTTAAAGCTACCTGTATATGAAAAGGTAACCCTTTCTGAAAAAAAAAAAATTACTATAAAAAAGCGAAAGGACTGATTTGGACCTTGGGGCAGAGCATCCTTGTATATAACTTTGTTAGGTCCCTTCCCTCTCCCCCCAGGCATAGCTATATGGAGAAAATTTGTATTGTAAAAAATAAACATCCCCGCTTCATTTTGGGTTCACGATCGAAACAAAATGGAACTTTTCTGGTACAAGATGTAGCATGGGTTTATCGTTGCAGAGTATCTTTTTCAGCCAAACGTTTTCAAGTAGCCCTTCCTGGGAGGGTTGCTGAAAACTGTCTGAAATGATTCATGTATATAATATTTGCAGAAATACTCTTCTCTCTATTTCTATTCACCAGCTAGCTAAAACCAAATTGTATACGTTTGTCGCAACATAAAATAAATAAGATTTCTGCAATATCTGTGTCCCACTAAAGCAAAATTGTGCAAAATAGTCTTGGCATTCTCATGCTGATTTTCTTAAAATTATGAATGTCAAAATCACGTGATATAATTTCTGCATAATTGCAATGTAACAATTTTATGATGAAACACTCGAATGTTAACTGAACAAGGACCACAACAAATTAAAATTTTCAATCAGTCACCTTTGAAAGTCTTAAACATCTTGTTTTGCGGTCTACAAGTAAACATTTAACCAAAAGATGTATGTATGTTTTTGGACGAAAAATTGACTGTGTTCAGGCTTTTCGGTATTTTGAATTTTTTTCGTCTTTCCCTTTTCTCCTTTTCTTATCTCTTTGTTGCAGTGGTTGGCCTTCATGATCCATCATCGAGACGGGAAATTGTTTCCATGGAGTAGCCAAGTGTACTGGACGGAAATTTTACTCCGAGTTTTTCACTCAAATTTCAGAGTATTCTCGTGCATATTTCAGGCCCAATTGACCCAATCACTCTGATCTGGGTATCACTGGAAGGATCTTTTCCTCTTACAGAATTTGAATATAACTGATACCAATTTTGGCCAAACGTGATGACGTTAAAGGGGAAAAAACGCCGCTTGTCACGGCCGGTTACAACCGGCACAGGCGTCAATGGGTTAAAAAGGTGGAATACAGTAAATCCGCCTCGTATTAGCGCTTCCCCTCAAATAAGCGCCCCTTCGAATAAGCCCCCCCCCTCCTATTGGCCAAAATTGAATAAGCACCATAGCCCTCGAATAGCCCACCTCCCCTTCTCCTCCTTTTTTGGACGAGTACTGAGACAACAAAGGATATTTCGTGTTTAATCATGGGCAGCTGATGGTAATGAAGATCTTCTGGTTCATTGTAAGCCCAACTAGCAGCTGCACAAAATCCACACAAACCACGCATAAGGACGCATATGCATAACGATTTCTTTTCAGGCAATACTGAGATCTGCCATAGGTAACTTTATGAAAACGATGGCTGCCGCGGCAAATCTCGAGGGAAAGCTTAGAAACCATTGTGCTCGACGTACGATGATTGCAACGCTCAGACACGAGAACGTAAATTCCCTTGACTTTTCCTAACTGTAGGATACAAGAATCTTAAATCCGTCGGCAGCTATTCCATAGCCTCAAAAGAGCAAAAGAAGAGGATGTCCTTTATAATCAGCGACAGGTCCGCCGGCAGAACTCCATTAAAACCTGTTCCATGCAACTCACCAAACAGCAACCCACAGAGCTCTACTGCATCTGCCAGTTCAAACCAATCTGCTTCGACTTCTTATTCTGGTGCGTAAACTGCTAAGTGTGGAAGACCACGTTCGAAATAAAATCCGTTGAACTTAGCACCAAACCCGTTTGACAAGCTGAATTTTGATAGCCAATCATATCTTTTCACGGTGCGGGACGCGCAAAACTGTCACACTCTCCCTCTTTCGCTGATAAATTTGTTGACTAATGCACTACAGCAGTTGGATAATTTTGTTGTTTGTGTTTTGAGGCTCGTCAAAATAACGCTCAACTCGTAAAAATATACAGCAATACTACACACCAAAACATCTATTAAGATATATGTATTTGATAGGCAGTTACGATATTTACTTCTGTCCTGCTTGTGCGTAGTGTTATACATACACACTTTATTTGATACGTAGGTCAAACTATGGCAACAATACAGCTTATTATGGACGTACCTAATAAAACCTAACTAATACTTAACTAATAAAATATGATTATTAGTCTTAGATAACATTGTTCCTTTTTTTCTTAAAATTTGTAGTATTATAGTTCTTTTGAAAAAAAGTCGCTTTACTTAGTTAGACTTTGTTGCTTACGGTGCTGCCTTGAAACCCTCGAGCTTTCATGAGTACCTTGATGCACTATCAAAACAGTTCAAAACGTGATGGGCCTGTAAAGGTTAATACCGTTCCTCCCAAATTCATTTTTTGTTCGTTTGATTGCGAGAAGAGGGCCCTTGGATTCAGTGCAAGTGAAAAAAGGAACTAATCTCTTGTTCATGCCTCGCTTAAACTTAATTAATTTAATAGCTTATCTACGTTTATTTCGATATCTTAAAGTCAGTTTATACACTCCAAGACGTCACAATCCAGTGTATTCTATGGAATTTTACCAGCACTTCTGCCCGCTCATATGTGCGGACTCTCCATTTCGGTAAACATAGAGAGTGATACCCCAGAATAATAAAATTTACTTCATTGGCATGTTGAAAGAGAAACTGTCAAACAAATTTGGTACCTGCCCTATAGCTGCGAAAACTACATGCTTCTTTTACCTTACTTTAAGTGGAGTCTTTATTGGCTCCATAATTTCTTTCATCTTTGTCGAATAAAAAGTGAAAAACGAGCTTAAACCTGACTACCCTGTGTTGTTTTAAAGTCTTTTAGTCAGAGTACACATCACGCCATCTTTGGGCCGAATCGTGAGTCGCTCAATAACTTCGCCTGACTGACCAGGAACCAGAGAAAACTTGAAAGTCTGAAGAAAGCGTGACAGCAGAATCTTGGCTTCGATCTAGATATGGGAAAAGGAAAGATATAATAATAATAAACCCCGCAGGAAGATATTGTTCACTGGATTTGTTTATACCACTGGTGAAATGAGAGAGTCAGCGAGAGCGAGAAGTATGATGCTTAAGAACAAAAATAGGGGAAATTACATGCCCGCGCGTGGATACGAATTTTATCTTCGAGTGTTCAACTGGATGTCTCACAAGTGAGCACAGCGAACGAGTGAGATATTGAGTTGAACACGAGAAGATAAAATTCGTATCCATGCGTGGGCATGAAAAAAATGTTTATTATATATATCTTATTAGATGTTTTGGTGTGTAGTATCGCTGTATATTTTTACGAGTTGTGCCGTATTTTGACGAGTTAGTAGGGCGAGTCAAAATACAAACAGCGAGTAAAAATATAAAGCGATACTACACACCAAAATATTTAATAAAAGATTTATTATCCAACTGCTGTAGTCGATAAATTTATCAGGGAAAGAGGGAGAATGTGACAGTTTTGCGTGCACGCGCCGACCTGTCCGGCAAACAGGTTTTCTACCATACAAATAACTGTGCGATATCGCTGTACATTTTTACTGTTATTTGGACGGTACTCGCTGCAGTTGGATAATAAATAAACATACTAATGACGACCTTTTCGACGATTTTCCGAAGATTTCCGACCACTTTCCGAAGTTTTATGAAGATTTTCCAAACATGTTCCGAAGGCCAGACGAACGTTTCCGAATATTTTCCGAAGATTGCCGAAGATTGCCGAAGATTGCCGAAGACGACCGAAGAAGATCTGAAGATGCTTCTATCGTACATTAACAAATTTAAGAGTAGTTAAAGGGACAAAAGAAAACTGTTACTAAAAAGGAATGATATCTTCACAGTGTGAAAGATAAAAATAGTATCTTCACTGCGCGTAGCCTGCGAACGCAGACGTATTTCCGGCTGTCGCTTGTCTCCGCCGAAAATAACGTCTGCGAACCCGAGCCAAGAAACGATTTCTGTGACGTAGGAATTTTAAGCCAATTACAGTTTAGCTCAAGTAGCCCCAGAGCTACTGCGCGAGGCATTCGCTGCGAGGAGCACTCGAGTTTCATTCTAGCATGGAATCTGATTGGTCATTACGTCACAGAAATCGTTTCCTGGTTCGGGTTCGCAGACGTTATTTTCGGCGGAAACAAGCGACAGCCGGAAATACGTCTGCATTCGCAGGCTACACTGCGCGCGATGAAGATATGATTATTTAGTAGAAGGAAAAATCCTCGTATTTCACTGGTGTTTATATAATAAACATTCATTTAATCATATTAAAAGCCTGGTCTCACATAGTTTTTTTAGTCTGCACCTCAAAGCTACCTTCCAACGCAGAAGCTTTCTGGGCTCGTCACGCAATCTTCCCTCCTTCACGGTCGTTGGGGAGGAACGCGTGACGGGTTATAAGAACGTCAGCGAAGGAGGCTACCTTAAAACTGACCATTGTTCAAGCGAGTTTTGCAGCTTGATCACAGGTATTCATTGTGTCGATTCAATCCTTTTAGTTCATGCTTTAGAAAAACTCGCGCGGATTGAAATGCTGTTTGAAACTTGTAGCTGTTTACACAGTTATTAAAGTCGCATGACCGTCAATTCCTTTTCTTGAGTGTTCCTGGGAATTAAATTATCAAGTGATATTTCTAAATCTTTTCTCCAAACATCGGAGAAACGAGAAAGCAATGCCATTTTGCAGACGACCTCCAGCCACTTCACACTAATGGTTTACACTGTACGAGTAGTTCAGTCAATTAAACTGCAGCATTTGCATTAGTATACTAATAGAATTCTACTTAAATCGGTATAGATGACATCTGCTGTCTAAATCAAAAGATCACATCCGTGCTTAAGATGAAACCCGTACTCAGATCTCTTGTGTGGGAAGCCAATGGCGTAACCCGATAGATATCGAAGGATAGGGTTCAAATTACCTGCGCGAACTTTTTTCCAATGCAGTTGCGCGGTCCAAGTGAAAACGGGAAGGTAGTATAACAAGACCTAAAAACGATAAAAGAAACAAAACTCATTACTGTATTAATTTCAGTATTGACTGGCGTCAAACATCGTCCAACTGGTCATGCAATTTGCTGTAAGAAAAAAGCTTCAAAGTGTAAATAAGGAATAAATATTTTGTTTGTAAGTTTTCTTTTCTCCAACATTATTGCGGGCAAAACTAATTGAACTTGTTCTACACATGCCAGACTTTCTATTTTGCCAGGCATCTTGTTTCGGCAACAAAATGATTGCAACAATCCTATGAGATGTAACGATACAGGAATATCATTCCGATGTATTGATTCACTGACGGTTGTAACACATCCACAAACCATACAAATTTTGTAAGTAGAGCACGTGACCCGAAAAGAGTTGACATAAGCGCCTAATTTCTCCCCCAGTTTTAAAGATGATTTCCAGCCTGTACTGCGCAATCTCAGCACCCTAATGTTTATAAAAATTATCAGAAATCTCACTCGAGGGAATGCAAATCGATGCTATTCGTTACGAATCACATACCTTATCTTTGAGGCCTTCCAACTTCTTTTTCCAACAGCTTCATTGATTTTTACGGCTGCAAAGTTGTTTCATCAAGTTATATGAGAAAGAACGAAGCATAAAGCTTCGACCGCTTCGCATCCACAATTTACTTCATGTAAGTAGTTGCGAAATGTGTACATTTTGTGATGTCTTACGTGAAACAAGACAAAAAACGCAAACAAACTCTCGAGAGTGCGCAGCATGGACTGCAAATCATCTTTAACTCTTGTAGGCACAAGTCAATCGTATCCTTCGAAAAAGTTTCACGGATCGTCACAGAGAAGGTGACTTGAATTACCCGTTTGTACTCTAACACATGTACCTTCTCACGAGTTCTTCATTGTCGAATCTGTAAGGATTGAACTCTTCTGGATTGGTCCAAAACTCAGGGGAGTGACTGTTGACGAAAGAGCTCACCTGCAAATTAACAAAAGTACCTTCACAGTCCAAGGTTCGTAAAAGTCCGCGCGTGCGCAGTTCCCACTAAAGCCGCCGCTTATTTAATGTCCTTGGCAGTATAACCCGCGAACAAGCTTTCGCAATGAAAGTACATGAACAACGTTCAAATAGACAGTGTTTGCCAGAAGGCAGATATTTGTGACAATTCAGTAACATCTTCTTTGATGTAGCAGCCCTTAGTTAGTAAACTTATGCGCGAACACCAGTAAGAAGAAACAAACAAACATACAAACAAACCAACAAAAAACAATTGTAAGAAAGTTATGCACCACTCTCTAAATATTGTAATTTATTTATTTATTTATTCATTTAGTTATTTATTTACCATTAAATTGGTATTGGCAGGGATTTTGTATCCACCTATATCTTGACCCGTTCCAGAAGTCCGTAAAGTGGCAGCCACGGGTGGATACAGGCGCAATGTCTCCTTCATTGCCTGGTAAGACAACAAGAACAACTCTTATCAGTCAGTGAGTACGCATGGACCTTGCCAAGAGAGAAAGAAAAGACCACCCTTAGGCAAGTGCTTTCTACATTTCTTTTGTGTCTTCATACTTATGGCCTGAACCGGGTTGTTCGAAAGGCGGACATCGCTAACCCAGGATGAAAAGCTAGCAAAAGTATCAATTTTTCTTGGAGAACAATGTTTTTCACTGCTTATGTTTTGTACAGAAAAAGTTGAATACCAAAGTGTATAAAAATGAACTTTGCTTTTGACTCAAGATCAGTTATATTCTGTGTTGGACTTAGAAGGGATTTCACGGATTTTTTAAGGGCTCTACCTAAAATTTAAGGACTTTATTCAAGACTGTGCGAGTCTTTTGTTTTCTACATCTTCCTTGTGTCTACGTACTTATAGCATGGGGAACATTGCAAAGATTTTGGACCTTCCCTTGCGCGACAATGTTGGAAGAAACACTTTACCAGTCCTAGCTGGTACAGTTTAGCCAGGTCGTCAAACGCAACATTCTGTTTATCTCCCAGCACGTCAAACACCTCTCCAACCAAGCTATAAAAGAATCATTTATAAAATACATTTGTGCGCTTACAGATTGTTGTAACATTGAAAAACATCCGGAAAAAACAAAAATTAAGATGACTTTTCAAGGAACCGGCAGAACAAGTCATTAGCAAATACTTACATACAAATAATACACAATATTTTAGAAAAGAATATTAGTATTTTAGGTTGTGACAAAGGAATTGATTTTAAGGAACAGCAGTCAGTTTGTCTAAGCAAAGTCACCTCTCCATTATCTCAGGATGGCCTCCAATCTCAAGAAGACAAAACGACATCAAACTCGCTGTAGTCTCGTGAGCTGAAAAAACAAATGATGTCCAGTGTAAAGTGTGAAAAAACCAAAACCATCTAGTATAACTAGTGTGAAGGAAAGGAAACGTGCAAACAAGCCAACAGTGTACTGTGAGCGCGGGAAAACAAAACCATCGTGAATCTCGTGAAGGATAGCAAAAACTAAAAACGAGGAGCTAGGAATAGTGGTCTGTGTCACAATTAAGTAATCGATTGATGAGTAGATAACTACATACATGGTAGTTGCTCTCAGTAGCATGCAAAATATGTTATCGGCAAAAAAAAGGAATTAAGACAATTATAAGAGTAATTTCAAAATATTTTGGCCTAATCTAAACTAACTATCAAGACAAATAGACAGAGGAAAAACAAAGAAAAAGGTTCTCCTTTTCAAGGATACTGTGTCCCTGGGATGGAAGCCGGTGGGATGGGGNGGGGGGGGAGAGAAGCAGAGGCAGACACAAAACTACCTGGCTTCGCACTATGGAGAAGGAGAGAGACAGACAAGGATGCAACTCGTGGATAAGGGCCAGACAGGCAGCAAAGAACCACCGGCAGTGGAGGGGAGATGTTCGGGCTTTGTGCGCCTCCGGGCGCGAAGAGATTTAACTTTAACTTTTCAGGGACTTGCCGTTCGTTTTAATCAAAACTGCTTTCACTTAAGGACGGTGCCTACTTTTGTTAGTGCGCACACGTTCTGCGCATCACGCAAGCCATGGTTTAGCTCCACGCACGCGCTGGGGCTGACATTGATGCAATCAACTATGCTATCACATACACGACAAAATGAAAGCAAAATTTTCCTACTGTGACCGAATCAAGTTTAATGAACCTGTACTTAAACCAGGAACACCAGAATAGCAGCATATCGCTAACTACTAACTGTTTATGTCTTCCAGCTGAAAACCTAACTGTTATCTGTTGAAAATTATACTGAAATCCAACTGTAAACATGTACCTGCAGATGGCGTAGTGCGCGCGCAAGACAAGTGTGAGATACGCAAATGTCTT